AGCCCTGACACATTCCCTTCTTGATTTTCAACCACGAAGTATCCCTTTGTTCTGTTCGAATGACTGCTTCCTGATTTATGTACAGGTTCCACATGAGTACAATTAAGTGTTCTGGAATTCCCATTCTTCTAAATTTTATCCATAATTTATTATGATCCACACAATCGAATGCTTTTGCACAGTCAATAAAATATAAGAAAAAATTGTTCTGGTATTCTTTACTTTCAGCTAAGATCCATTGGATACCAGCAATGATATCCCTTGTTTCATATCCTCTTCTGAATCCAGCTTGCATTTCTGGAAGCTCTCTGTCAATATACCACTGCAACCATGTTTGAATGAACTTCAGTAAGATTTTGCTTGCATGTGATAGTAATGATATTGTTTGATAATTTCCACATTCTGTGTGATCACCTTTCTTTGGAATGGGTACAAACATGGATTTCTTCCAGCCAGTTGGTCAGGTAGCCATCTTTCAAATCTCTTGGCATAGCCAAGTGAGTGCCTCCAGAGGGGCATCTATTTGTTGAAACATCTCAGTGGATATTCTGTCAATTCCTGGAGCCTTGTTCTTTCCCGATTCCTTCACTGCTGCTTTTACTTCTTCCTTCAATACCATTGGTTCTTGATCTTATGCCACCTCCTGAAATGGATGAGCATTGACCAATTCTTTTTGGTACAGTGACTCTGTGAATTCCTTCCATCCTCTTGTTGTTTCCTGCATCAGTCAATATTTTGCCCATAGAATCTTTCAATATTGCAAGTTGAGGCTTAAACTTTTTCTGTAGTACTTTCAGCTTGAGAAATCCAAGTGTGTTCTTCCCTTTTGTTTTTCTAACTCCAAGTCTTTGCACATTTCATTATAGTATTTGGTTTTGTCTTCTTGAGCTGCTTTTTGAAATCTTCTGTTCATTTCTTCCATTTTCTTTAGCTACTCTCTGCTCAAGGGTAAGTGTGTTTTTATGTGTAATGTGTGAGTGGTTTTGTTCAAAGACATTCCTGGCTGTTTCAATTTACACACAGACTCATTTCCAGACTGTGATTCATTGCTAATATCACTTTTTTGTTCTTTCACTGATTCAGAAGACTCATATTTATATTATTGAAATGGCACCTTAACAAATTCATTCATACTTTTGTTTCTTTATTTTATTCACTTTAATATTTCACAATAAATTTCCTAATTGAAAATTAAAATACTCAACACTTGATAAATAAGAATTAAATTGTTTAATTAACTCTTTAATTTAATTAAGAATTAAATTCTTAATTTAAGAAGAATTAAATTGTTTTAGGAACAATACTCTGTGCCATCAAATTGGATACCAGTCATAGTGACCACTCCTGGCATTTCTAAGGCAGTATCACTGCAGAAGTAGATTGCCCAACCTTCCTTCCAAGGAGTGGTTGGTGGGTTTGAACTGCCAGAGTTCTGGTTAGCAGTCAAATGCCTTAGACACTTAGACACTACACCACCAGAGCTGTTTACATGAATTGAATATGATAAATGTATCAGACTTATAATTCTCAGCATAGAGTACTTCCCAGTGAGTGTTCAGCATAGTCATGCTGTTCATCTGGATGGGCCAAACTCACACAGAGTGGAATTTCCCAGGCAACACTGATAGGAACCACATTGATGAATTGTATGATAATTATCATGAACAAATGAATTTATAACTTGGGGCAATCTATTTCCGTAGTGCTACTGCCTTGGAAACCCAAGGAGGGGTCACTATGAGTCAGGTCCAACTCGACGGTACATAACAACAAACAACAATTATTAATTAACTTCATTACTTGACATGGTTACTATTTTATTATGAACCAAATATATTTAAATATTTTTATAAATAATAAATAGGAGTGTCCACACACATACATTCTATAGTCATCAGGAATATAAAAAAAAGAGGGGCATCTAACATAGCATTTGGTAATTATGAGATAAAAGATGAATTTTTAGAGAACTTTTAAATAAGCTTATTCTAATTGCTAGTAATTTCATTTGATGTCTTTCATCTTTCATTTGGAACTGAAAATTTTTCTCAACAGGCTATCAAGTGCCCCCTTCACATCCTTATTCCTAAGGGTGTAGATGAAGGGATTGAGTGTAGGAGTCACCACTCCATAGAAGAGAGCCATGAACTTGGGCTGGTCCCTTGTGATGGAAGAAGGTGGCTGAAGATACATGCTAATGCCTGGGCCATAAAATAAGAAAACTACAATGAGGTGGGAAGAACACGTCCCAAAGGCCTTTTTCCTTCCCTCAGAAGACTTCATCTTCAACACAGTATGTCCAATACAAGCATAGGAAGCAAGAACTAAGCAGAGTGGAACAGCCAACATAAAAATGCACACCACAAAGAGTGTGAGCTCATTAGCACTCTTTTCCCCACAAGCAATCTTTATCAAAACAGGAATCTCACACAGCAAGTGATCCAGTTTGTTGAGACCACACAGTGGCAACTGTAATGTAACACTGGTCTCTGAGACAGCATAGGTCATTCCACTCAGCCACATAATGGATACTAGTAAGATGCAGGTTCTCTGATTCATGATGAGGGTGTAGTGGAGAGGTCTGCAGATGGCCACATAACGATCCAAAGACATAATAGCCAAGAGCAGACATTCTGTGCCACCCATCATGTGGAAGAAATAAAGTTGAAATGCACATCCCATGTAACTGATTGTCTTCTTAGAGCTTCCCAGGTTAACCAGCATCTGAGGGACAATGCTTGTGGTATAACACATGTCCAAAAAGGAGAGGTTGGTGAGGAAGAAATACATGGGGCTGTGGAGCTGAGGGTCTAACTTGGACACCAGAATGATGGTGATATTTCCCATCATAGCCATTGGGTATGTTATCAGAAGAATAACAAAGAGAGGAAGCTCCAACCAAGGACGGTCAGTAAAGCCTAGTAGAATAAATTCTTCAGGGTGGCTTTTATTAATAACTGTCATTCTCTTCAGTTTGCTTTATCTATAATCAGAAAGTGGTAAGGAACATATAATGAGTAATCAAAATCATAAAACATGATTATGCAGTTTTCATCCATTCATAGAAAATGAGGTACAGTAACTTGAGGACAAAATAACCCATGGTATCTGGTATCAGGAGACCTAATTTTCCTTCCTCACACCACAAACTAAAGGCAGTCTCTTCAACCATTCCTAAATTGAATTTCATCTTTTGTATAATAAGAAGCCAATATCCACAAGCCACTCCTCAGAAGGAAGATGGGGCAATCTACTTCTGTAGTGATACTGCCTCAGAAACCCAAGAAGGGGTTGCTATGAGTCGGGTCTGACTCGATGGCACATAACAACAACAACAACACCACCACCTATCTCCTTGGGTTGTGGTGACTATCAAATGGAAAATAGATGCAAAGGTGTTTTGGAAACTCCAAGGTAATGATGTTTAACCTTTGGTTTGCGTAGTAATCAGCCGAGGATACTGGTATAAGTGCAAGTTATTGGTTCTTATATCCAGGTATGTGATAGAGTCAATGTGTCATGGGACCCAGGAATCACATGGCTCGTTTAGAGAAACTGCTAAGAAGTGACCTGCAAAGCAGTGTCACAAAGGGGAAAAGTATTGAGGAATCAACTCAGTGGCCCACAATAACAACAGCATAGTTAAACGAGGAGGAGAAAAAATCCTGGAGCTGTAAGAATCAACATAGACTTACCTAGCCCTTCTATTTAGTTGAACAATTAAGTTGTTTCTATGTGGAAGTGAGCAAGAAATAAAAAAATTTAGTTTTAGTTTCTTTAATTATAAATTGGAAGAGTTGAGCATGCTCAACAATTTGTTTTGTACTTTTTCTTCCAAGGCTATTGAGTTCAAATTTGCATATTTCATCTTTCATGAAAAATTTTATCTAGTTAATCTATTTTAGGGATAGAGATAGGGAGATGGATTTCTATTGGTGTAGTAGACTTATGAATCTGTTTTATGTAAGAAGTTGGACACTTATCAGTGATTCACTCTTGTTCATAATTGCAACATATATTTGTAACTCCAGGAAACTGCTGTCAGTGAGTAAGTCTGTATCCTACTTTAGGTTCAGAGACTTATTCCAGTCCAGAAATTATTTCACTTTGTGTGTGTGTGTGTGTTTATTTATTAAAAGACACACTGTTGCAACAAAATTAATTAGCTGAGTGACATAGCCATTTGAGAAAGATTAGTTTGATGATTCAGAGTTTCAAGAATCCAGAGAAAGTTTCTGTACTCCATGGATAGTTCTAAATGAATGTTGTCTCTTTTATCCTAATTTGACCTTGACACTATTAAAAATGTTATATGAACACATTCAATTTAAAAATATGTCTTGGGTTAAATTATTTTTCAGGTGAAAATTCCATGTCTTAGATAGGAATGTATTAAAAGTATGAATTGATTTTGTTGTTAAAATAATCATTCTAAAAATTCCAATCTATCCACATCATTAAATAATTGCACTACAAGACAGCTATTGCCTATTCCTTTAACAAATTTATATTCACCTTTACATTTTTCTATTCTGAATTATTCTTCATTCTTTTAAAGATTAATTTTACATTTGATAGTCCAAGAATTCTTCATAGTCAATTCCACCTAATTCTAATGACAGTATTCACTCCAGTATGCTACTTGTATAGGTTGGCAATTAGTTTATATTACTTGCCTTATTAATTACAGTTTTGTTGATGAATGATGACCACCCTATAGTACACAGATGAATATCTCAGAATTAGTCTCAGGTTGTGATTTTTCAGTTGCTACAAGGGTTCCCTGACATGAAATGCTCTCTGCATTTTATATTTATATTAGGCATTAAGACTTACAAATGTGCAAGCTTCCATAAGAGTGCATGGCATTAAAAAAATGTCTTTTTACTCACCTTACTTTGCAAAATATTACTCAATATAGAGCAATTATGAAGAAATATATTGGTATTTTTTTGAAAGATCATAGAAGAAGAGACAATAGTACACAGATGAATATCTCAGAACTAGTCTCAGGTTGTGATTTTTCAGATGCTACAAGCACAACAAAGTGAGGGAGGAATGGTTTAGGAAGCTCATAGTAGGTGATATCAAGTATGCCTTGCTGATGTATTATTTGTATTTTATTCCTGAGATCTTTTGGGCATTGTTTTCAAACAAGCCATTTATCCTTATCCCAGATGGATTAGCAGAGAAAGTTCCCTGGGACAGGGCTCTCTGAAGAAGTATTTTTGTGTCCAATTAGTTGCTTACTGCATTGAGGCTGGGAGTAAGGTCCTTTGAGTGTTAGGATCGTTTTGAAGTAAACTTAATTTTCAAGGGAAAATGGTGGCTAATTTTAAAAAGGATATAATTAGAGCAAAACTTATTTAAATGAATGATTCAGAGAACTTAAATATAAGCTCCTTAATATCTCCATCCATTCTTAGAATATCTCATATAGCATTCAGTTATTTCTACTCATCTCAATGAGGGGACCAGGAGGATTTGCAAAGGAAAGGAAAATAAGATCAATCAAATTAGATCTCTACAATGAGAAGGCTAAGTGGCAGGCATAGAGATACAGGACAAGTATTTGGGATACAATCTGATAATATAGATTGAAACATCCAAAGGAAAAAAAAAAGGAGACCATTGATGGTAGAAAGGCAAAATGTTCCACCACCATTGTGGAAAACAGTGTGATATTTCTTCAAAACACTAGAAAACAGAACTAGCATATTATCTGGCAATTTCACTCTTATATACCCCCAAAGACTTCAAAACAGAGATTCAAACAGTGACTTGTACACCAGTCTTCATTGCAACACTCTTTACAATAGCCAAAATTTGGAAGAAACCTAAATGCTCATCAACATATGAATAAATAAGCAAAATGTGGTACATACATAAAATGGAATACTACTCAATGAGTAGGAGAAATGAAGCCTTGATACATGCTAGAATATGATTGGAGCTTGTAGATATTATGCTGAATGAAATACGTCACTCACAAAAGGACAAATATTGTATGACCTCATTATATATATTAAAAAAAAAATACAAACAAACAAGAAAAGGCAAATATGTAGAGATCAAAGCTTATTAGTGGCTACCAGGGGTGTAAGGGAAGGGGAAGGGGCATTATTTCTTATAGAGTATTCAATTCTGGTTTATGGTGATGGAAAAATAGCATTGATTAAGGGTAGGGTTACACAATGGATTATTTTAAGTGCTGTCAATCAGTTATACACTTGTAAAAAATTGAACTGGCAAAAGTTGTATGATAGACACATTCATAACAATGACTAAAAAAAGTAGCTGCTGAGGCTGCTTATGTACAACCAAATATCTCATGATGTTTGCTTTCTTGGCTTGGAGGTTTGGAGTCATATTTTCAATGGACATCCTAGTTAATTGGCTTACAAATGTGTTTGTGCTTCTGTTTGACAGCTCAAATTATTATGTAGTGCATGCGGTCCTAAAAGTTTGCAAGAGGCATTCAAGAGACAACAATGTGTCTCTGCACCTGGAACAACAAAAGAAGAAAGAGAGTCAGGAATAACAGGAGGAAACGGAACGTGTGGCTAATTGCCTTCATGAACAATTGCCTCCTTTGCTATGAGCCCAGAAGAGCTGGATGGTGTGTGGCTACCATCACTGAACGTTTTGATCAAAGATTCTCTAAAAGGACCTTGATCAAAAGAGGGAAATACAGAACAGAATTTAAAATTCTCATAGACTCCAGGGTTTTAGGAGCCATGGAAGCTGGGTGAATCTCTGAAACTATTTGTTAGGCCGAAGCAAACCCAAGCCACCAACATTTCAGTTAGCAGCTTCTTCCGGACATCAAGCCCTGATGAGACAGCCTGATAAGACAATGGAAGTAACAGAACCCGCCCAGACTGGAAAGTCCCATGCAGTGGCAAGCTTCCTCTTGTGAAGCCCCCTCATGCTAATTAAGTGCAGACCCATACTAACAGCTAATTGGACCCCACTATTTCCTTAGTGTCCCCGCTTAGGTCCTCCACAAGACTATAAACCCTCCCCTCCCCAGCCAGGTGGTGCGACTTCCCGGGCCCCTCTCAGGGACCCGTGAACCTCACCCGGGCCCCTCTCGGGGGCCCGTAAACCTCCCCCGGAAACTCAGAATAAAAACTTCTCTTTAACCTCACTTTTGTGTGTCCTTTTCTCCTTACTGTGGCCTTACACTATTGCCCTGAGAGAAACTTTAAACTGAAAGTATCCTTAAGTCTTCTTAAAAGCAAACTATAGATTAGCTTAACTAGTAAGAAATAGCTGTCTTGAACATTGTGCTCTTTTAAGTACTATCTGGATGGAATCAAAATGACAACAGCAACTCAACAAGTTAGAAAGGAACCTTAGAGGGCAGTGAGTTTATGTTAATGAGGGAGGCATAGCTCAGAAAAGGAAGGGAGAATGGTTGCAGGACTTTAAGAATGAAATCAATGTCACTGAACAGTACATGTAGAAACTTGAATTCATGTATGTTTTACTGTATATATTCTTAACAATAACAAAATAAATTGCATTAAAAAAATAAAAGTTTGTTATGGGAGGGAATATTGAGTAGATTTTCCCAGGTTTGTGGAAAGTTGCTGCAAGGGTTAACTGAGATAGTACACGTGAAATGCTTTACACAAAGTGGTACATTGATAAATATTTGTAAAAACTTAAAAAAAAACTGAAAAAAGGGAGGGGCAGAAGAAAGGAGAGACCATCTGGGAAGAAGAAAAAAATTCACTGATTAAGTATTAACTAAGTTTGAAGGAAAATCTTTTAAAAATAAAAGCTGGGGAATGGAAGCAAAAGACATTTATTAATTTCAGTAGTGCTCATGCTGGAAAGTTAATATATAAAGGTCTATAACTGGACCAATGAGCAGCATCACAATAAATGGAGAGAAGATTGAGGTTGTCAAAGAACTCACGTTGCTTGGTTCTACAATCGATGTCAATGGAAGCAGC